GCAGCTTGGATGATGATTATTGCAGTCGGAAGAGGTGGAGAATAATGAAAGTGTTGGAGAATAATTCCAACAAAAAGAGGAATCGATAAAAAGTTATCAAATATAAAAATACTTTCGTACTTTTTTTTTTCTATCGGGAAATATTTATCGTATAAACGATTAAGAAGGAAACTGGAACAGTATTTGTTGTACTGCGGCAAAGAACTGAGCTGAGAAGACGCAACATCTCGCAACTGTATGCCATTGTGCTATCACAGATCACCCGGTGGTCGTATCGGCGACACACTTCGGCGGGCGCGTGACAAGTACATTATCGCGGTCTGTTGGTATTGTTTGACTTAACTAGATGAACGCGCCAATGTACGGGGGCATGTGTCGTCATACGACAAAACCGATTCAGAATGCTCCGGAAAACATAATAGCTCAAGTGCGAGTGATTCTTTTGAAAAAAATATAATAAATATTAAATAGAATCATAAAATGTATGGACGGAAATTTGTAATGTAATAAATTCTTATTCTTTAAAATTAAAAGAGATTGATTTTTTTATTATTGTTTGACATAATTAATTGAAGAATAACTTGAATATTGATTATACATTATTTAAATATTATTTAATATATAAATTATCTAATGTTAATTAATATAATTTTCTAACAATACCGTCGTTACGTTATCAAATTTAAACGTAACGAATTCTGTAGAATGTTTCCACTTATATATGTTTTGTCATATTTTTTATTAAAAATTTAAAATATCATAATAAAAAAAAATTGGAAGGAACACAGGAGAAAGTTGAATATTTTAGAATTATTCCTGAAGTTGGAGAAACTTCAGGTATTCATAATCTGCCGGAACTTTCCGTTCTTCTAAGCTTTTGTCAATCCTTTTTCTATTCGTCTATTTCGTTGGAGGCGTACTTGTTGGGGAACCGCGCTGTCTGTGTATAAGTCTAAAGAAGAATCGCAGAAACACGCATGAGTCAAGAAGTGTAGAGTACGGAAAAATTCTATGAACTTGCGGTCGTCCGGAATACAGTGGCCTCGCGGTAATGAATGTGGGAGTTTCACACGGGTCAACGGATCGCTGCCTTTTCTAGAGATACGTGCGAGGTGCACTTGGAGTGCACTATTTCTCTCTCTCTCTCTCTCTCTCTCTCTCTCCCTTCTCACTCTCCTTCTCTTCTACCAGTGTAGGACGAGTCAAAGAGTATCCTAACGTGTGTGCCAGTAATAAACCGCTTGATAACTTATGCATTCCAAACAGGCGATACTATCTATCTAGCGCTGCCGTAAATAAGATATACAAACTCGATGCGGCGCATATAAATTCGCGAGCGTATCGTATAAATGCGCGCGGTCCTTCCGACGTGGTACCCGCGAAAGGCACTCGCTAAATTGCACGTCGGAAACTTTCCTCGCGCGATCTGGATTCGTTAATTCATCTGGTGCAGGTAATTTAACCGAAGGAGACACTCTCTACCGCTCGTACTTACACAGCTCGAGTTCATTTAATACACCAAATAAATTACTGCATGCGATTGCTCTTATATACGATATCCCATCAAGTATCAGTCTCAAACTGCACCTGTCGTGAATCTAACATATTCGAATGAATTCTCTTGATTGAGCATAACGAATCACTTCTGAAAACCATTCGTTGCAAAGTCATCGATGGAGAGATCTCAACGGAAGGAGAAAAGATAATAGATTCAAATAAGCGTTAATCCGCAACGTTTATGCAAGCATCGTAAAGAACGTGGATTAATCTTTGAAACACTTCGCCGGGTTTAAACTTACGCTGTTGATCCCCGTGCCGTGCATTCATTACTCTTTATTGTGAAATCGCGAGGTTTTTTTTTCGCTATATATATGTTTGGCAATCGCAATGGCAATCGTAATAACTAGTTCTCCTAAACGCCGAGATCAGCTCGATTAGGTGCAATCACGATACCGTCGTATTGACCACGTTGCTAGGTAAAAAGAAATATTTATTCTTAGTTCGAAGGAATCTCTGACCTCCTTTCGTTTAAAAAAGGATTGTAAAAATACTTCATCAAATTATTCATATAAAATTAAAGCATGAATTTCTTCTGCAGTCAGACTTTCTAAGAATCAAGCTATCGCGGTATTATTTTTGTATTCTCTCTTGTTTTCTTATTATTTCTTTTTTAGGAAAATTTTAATATACATATTTTTGTTATATTTATTATCACTGAAAAAAAAATATTTTAATTTCAAAGAAATATCTTTTTGCTCGTATTCAAAAAAATTATTTCTTTGAAATGATTCAATGAAAATTTCTTTGAAAATAAGATATTGTATTTTTCAAAGAAATTTTCGTTGAGAGAGAGAGAGAGAGAGAGAGAGAAAGACCAAAGAAAAAATTTATTTGAATACGAGCAAAAAGATATTTCTTTGAAATTAAGCTATTTTTTTCAGTATAGTAAACGATTAAGTTTGGCGTCAAATATATAATAGAATTCACAAGGTTAATCAAAAAATAAATTAAATTCTCGTCTTTTCGAAATCTTTCTCAGATGAGCTGGCCGAGATACGTATGGGTCCACGAAACATTGTCCAGAGGCCCGAAACGCTTAGGGCATTAGATAATTTTTTGGAGATTGTTAAAAGTCACTTTAGAGACGCCTCCACCGAGAAACAGACCGAGGACAGGCTGCATCTGAGGCCTGGGAAGCATTTTCGGCGCCCATCTCTCTCCTCCCGTCCCTCTTCCCCACTCGACTTGAGGAAAGTAGAAAAGAGATCGCCCTCCTCACCCGGCGGAAAATTAAAGGGCGCGTCCTATTGCGTGGTCCGTCACTACGGGCCGGAGATGAGAGAGACACGACGTCCTGTATACGTAATACGTGAGATACACGAATGCGCGTACGTATGGCGTACGCTGTACATGCTTCCTTTGAAACTTCGAACTTCCTATCGCGACCGCGGTGTCTCTTTGTAGACGGATGAACGTCTCGTATCCAGGATAATGCAAGGTTCTTCGCCACATTCGCGTCTCTTTTCATTCTATCTCTTTTCTCTCTCTCTCTCTTTTCTCTGCTCTCTCTCCTTACCGCAGTTTCGCGTCTTATCCCGTTCGCTTGGTCGCAGGATCGAGATCCTCCAGCGAGTAATCCCGACGTAGAAAGATCCATGTCGCGGATATCGATCCCACAAGAGAGTAGAATGAGGGGTTTTAGTCGCGGAATAATTAATGTGAGAGAGCAGGTACTTCTGTGTGCTCCTCTCCGCTTTCTCTGTGATTCGATGCCGTGTGTTTACGGCGAGTTCGAGGGACGATGAGCGTGCATCGCACTGCTGGTACGATCGGTTAAATCTGGCTGCGACTCATGCATTTAGCACCATCGCGTCGGTTAATGCAGGATACCTTTTTTCTTTTCATTCGATACATGATTTTATAATGAAGTGATTTTATAATAATGCTAGTACTAAATTAATTTCGAAAAGTAGCGAAATATCTAAATTTGATATTACATCATATTATATATTAGGTGTTGGAATTAATTCGTAGCGTTTTACAAGTGATGGGAAGTACTTTCATTAATGTATTTTTTAATGCTCATGTGAAATAAATAACATTCTTTCATTAAAAAACGCTACGAATTAATTCCAACACCTAATATTTATCTTGATTTTTTTGTTCAGGTTTTTTTATTTCTATGTCACAAATATAGAAGGTATATATATTTAAAAAAAAGGTTAACCGAATCGAAAGATTGATTAATATCTTATGCATATTACACCAATTGTACTATGTATTGCGACAGTATAATTAAGTTTTTAAATCAATAATATTGAAATAAATTTTGTCTTTCGTGCTTTGATAAGATATAGTTGGACTTGCAACTTCGAAAAAGTCTTTTGTAGTTAGTAAAAGTAACTTGAAGCAATTTGTCACGCGCGCCAAATTCTGCTACAGAAACTCATTGCGAGTGTAACGAGTGCGGGCAACGAAAACTTGGCACCGTTCCAAGCAACATTAATACGTTTGGATATTACTGCAGGAACTTAAATGCCTGATCAACATCAATCGCGATGACAACTCGGGTTTTTATTTTCAAATAATTTTTTCATTTCAATTGTATTCATCAGAGCCGTCGTTATTTATACAGTATTTAATTTAATTATTTCATTTATACATATATATAGAATAATTGACAAGAAGATAATACGAATAATAAATTTGTCAAATTTATATAGTTTAAAAATACGTAATTTACGATTTAACATTGAAAATAGTTGCAAGAGTTGAATAAATTGTCAAATATTACAGTCCCATCGAAAGCAGATTAAACAAATACAAAATTCAATTAAAAAAATACTACCCTAACATAGAGTTTACACTTGTTTCCCGAGCTATCTATATGCAACGGCGGATTTTTTCGTACCGGATACAGAACCGTTGGTCCCTCGAGTCCGTTGGAACGTGCCGGAAAAATCATATCCGCCGCGTTCGCGCCACGACGCGAAGGAAGGGTTGCGTTTTGGAAAAAGCGCGCCTTTCCCCTACTACCCGTCGCGTTAGAGATACTCGCGAGAGAAGACGTGATCTCCCTCTTCGCGGTTATCTCCCGCGCGACAAGGACGGCGAACACCGACGCCGATATCAGTGAGCGAGAGGAGAACGGAAAGAGAGAAGAGTGGATCTGGCTTCCAGGCGACGAACAAGGAGAGACGAGCGCGCGGGTGTGTGTATATGGATCTGTAGGTGTACGCGTGGCTACAACGAATGCTCGCGAGTGCCATGGAAGGGAGAGAGAGCGAAAGCGAGGGAGAAGAATCGGGGAGAGGTGCAGAAAGGGAGCGCGATGTAAGGAGGGGGAGAGAGCGAGAGACAGGGAGAAAGATAGAGAGAGAGAGAGAGAGAGAGAAAGAGAGGAAGCGCGTTACCCCCACCACGGGGGGTGAAAACTACCCCGAGAGCGCGTGGGGTGTCCGGCCTCGGCGCCGAGACGAACCGAGCGCGTCCGAAGCGAGCGCAGTGCCCGACACACACCAGGTCCCGTACGGCACACGACTAGAGGCGCGCACAGTCCGGCACAGTCCACTCGGCGATACGACCCATGCTGGACCGTCGTCGCTCTGGTCCACGCCGGCATCAGGCATCCAGCACCCGCGCCGTCGTCACCAGGCCGCTGCACCAGACAGCCACACCAGCCCGCCGAGGTCGTACGTCAACGAGGACGCGGTATCGTCGCACGTCACGTCAACGTGATCGCGCGTGGTCCAGGGACCGCGGTGGGTGCATCACCGCCGCCGATTGCCGGCAATTAAAAATAAAAAAGAAAAACAAAACGATGCTATAAGAGGAGAGAGAGAGAGAGAGAGAGAGAAAGAGACGTCAAAGGATTCGAGGATATCACCGGACGACGACCGTCTGGGAACTTCGGTTCATCGAACTCGTGCAAAACATCGCGTCGCGACTCTGCGGGACACTCGCAACGCGACGCTTTCGGATTTGTTTATATTTTTCTTCTTTTTTTTTTTCTTCTATTCACTTCGATATACCGTATCAGCGAGGTACGAAGGTGACGGTAGTGAGCGAACAGTCAACGAGAAGCAATTCCGGATAAATTCGTTGTGCGAGGAAACGGCTGTGAACTCTGTTGATCACGGGCGACGAACATCACGTTTGGTGCGAACAAACTGCCTGCGGTCGGCGTGCCGCGTGTCGGCGTAACATCGGTTTCGCAGGTGCCACAAGGAAATTGGTCAGTGACGAGTCAACGTACAGAACTACTGTCAATCACAAAGGTGCCATCGTTCCCGCCGGCCGAGCACGTAAACGTCGTCATCCCGCACCTGTGCGCGCTGATCGTTCCGGTCAGTTAGTCACTCGGTCAGCTTGGTATTGATATTATCGTTCGCGGAGTCACGGTGTCATATATGTCGCGTGTATTTATCGCGGTAGTGAACGCGATACAGTCGCAAAGAGATGCGACCATTGAGGAACATGAGGACCGATATTAGTTGACGAAGAAGTGTCCAGGTTGCGGTGATCAGGTGTGCGAAAATCGGATCGGATATAATAGAGCGTAATAGAGCGCGATTCGCGAACTAAGAAAAGAACTGGACACGGTGTGTCCCTAGAAATAAAGAAGGACAGGGAGGACAGTGTTTCGATATCCCGGGAAAAATCGGATGGACCCTCTCGCGGAGGGTGAAAACACGCGGTGGAGGTGAGAGGGAGGAGGGCGGAAGCGTGACGACGGCCGAAATCGGGATCGGGTCTATTGTCCTGTCGTTCTGCCACCGACGTGCGCTTGTCGCTTCCTCCTTTCTCATCTCGTCTCCGCGGATGTGATTCAGGAGATCGGAAGGTAACAACTGGCTCTTGGTCCCAACGACAACTGCAATCGCAACTGCAACCCCTTTCCGTCCTGGACTCCCGGAGCTGAAGCTCGTTCTTTAAGAGACAGTGTTACGTGACGAGAGTCGAAGATCGCGAACGCCACCATGAGGATCAAAATGCCCGCGGTCAGGATCGCGCAAGGTGAGTGACGACAACAAAAAAATTCCATTTCCACGAAATGTCACGCTTGTCCGTTAACACGAACTCTTTCTTTCGTGTTTACATGCCACATGCCGCTGTAATTTTTGGCAAGAATGCTAAAGGATGATAACACGTTCGATATCATTGGTCACTTGGCGTGAATCACGTCGGATTGAATTGACATGAAAGCCAAATATTCATTGGCGAAATGGTCACGCCGCGACGGTGCGAAAACACGCGATTAGACACACGCTAAATGCATGATATTTGTCCCGTTTGCGAAGACAATGCGCTCAAAATCATGTGTATCATGTTTACGAGCGTATTTATTGTGCCACGCGGTTGGAGCAAAGAAACAATGAAGTTATTAAAATCGTTACTAAAACCCTCACTATATTTTGATTTTATATATATATATATACTGCTTCATTTACTTGTACAAGTTGTACAGTACTTGCAGTACTTAAAGTACGATTAGATTAGATTTGATAATGTATCCTATTATGACATGATTAGATTAAAAATGATATAACTCCTGTTATTACTTCTCGATCCATTGTTTCGAAACAAAACTTGTCTGTGAATGTTTTAGACAACTAGGATCGATGGATGTTTAAAAAAAATAAATAGCCAGATTAATTTCATCACAGCGTTAATTAATTTTATATAATTTAAATGTATATTTATATGTCTTCATAAAAAATCAAACCTGGTAAGAAATTAAGAATCAAAGAAAAAAAATAAAAGAAATTGATATAGCTATATTAACAAAAAAGAAAACAATAGCTCCTAGAAAATTACAAGAATGAGCCTTCAAATTCCAACTGATCATACGAATGTCCAAAACACAAATATTGTTGTCTTGTTCGAAAAGATTTCCTTTCAATAGAAGTTCAATAAATAAATATATTTTTCATAAGTTAGTATTTTTCATTCTGATTCAGACTTCTGTTTTGTATTATATGTGTATATATCAAATTTTTAATACTAGTAAGAAAATAGGCTAGAAATAGTGAAATAAATTCTTTTTCGTTTAAATCGCAAAAAATTTGCCATTTTTCACGATATTTTGCATTCTTCTCAGAAATTTTTAATTCTTTATATCAATATACATTAAGACATCGTTAATCAAGAGCAAAATTACTTGCAAATCCACTCGATTATGTCGACGTAACTCGTTTTAAGTTTTCTTCGAGAGCAAATCAAAAGTAATCTCTCTGCTAGTTGTTAATCGCCGCCGACAAATCCGTGCCATTTGTAACGAGAAACTCGGTGCTCATCGGCGGTAAATCCTTCCACAGTGATCCGTGATCGAATCGTCGTAAATCGTTTTCAATCGAGTCACGCAAGTCCAGCACGCTCTACTTCGATCCTAATCATTTTATGATTCGTCTCAATTCACTGACGTTATGCGTCGTCGATAACTATGTCATAGTATAATAAAAATAAAGTGATATGGAACGGCAAACTTGAAAATCAGATCCTCTTGCGATTAATTTCTTGGTAAACGACGCTTTCTGGGGAAAAGAATTGAATGCGGCAGTCATAATACATACAAGTCTTCCGCATCGAGTCGGTATCCCGGTCGTGATCCGGTAATTAACTCCGTCTTCTCGGAAAAAGCACCCGAACCTCGATGAAGAAGGCAACCTGTCGATGAGGTAAGGCGCGCGGCCGTTCCTCGTGGTGTGGTGCAACGAAAAAAAAGTGAAAAGGATCGGCGGTCGCGTGGCTGACGATGGAGGGAAGGTAAAAAAGCTACGAAAAGCGCGAGAAAGTTAAGTACAAGAGAGAAGAAGGCAGAGGGAGAAAGAGAGAGAGAGAGAGAGAGAGAGGGAGGGGGGGAGGGAGGGATGAGGTACAAGGAGAAAGAGAAAGTGTGTGTGTGAGTGAATGAACTAGAGGGAAAAGAAGAGGTCGAACGAGAGCGAAAGAGGGAAAAGAGGGATGGAAGGCCAACGTCTTCGGGTAACTCGTCGTCGGCTGAATTTTTAATTAGTTCGCGACAGCCCCCACCAGGCGAGGAGAGTGGAGGCGACGAAGGTGGTGGAGAAGGAGGAAGCAGGGAGAGAAGCAGGAGGTAGAGGAAGTGGAGGAGGAGGAGAAGGTAATGGTAGAAGGCGCGGGGTGGGCTAGAAAGGGCGGCATTGTCATGCGCGCGTTTTTCACAGACTTTTCCACCCCCGCGGCTGCTACCCCCCCGTTGGTAACACCCGCCCCCGCGACGCCCGCGAGGCACCCCCTCGCCTCCACGGAACGGCGGCGACGCCGGCGACGGCGGCGGCGGCGGCGGCTCCGTTTTCTTAATTACAACTGCGATATTCTTTAGTTCGCGCGATGACGCCGCCGCGAAAAGATACCGGAATATTTCTGCGGCACCGATTATCCCCTTACGCCCCGATTACTTTTATTGGTTGACCTTCGTTGACCTTCACAGGGTAGCGCAGCGATCGATCAATGGGCCATGTCGATTCGCGAGTGACGACGAACAACGTAACGCCATGGGTTTCTAAGACGGTGAGATCCGATAATAGCGCGCGATCGATCATCGCGATTAGAAGGAGGAGGATGACAATATTGCAATGAACAAGATCACGAATTCGCGAGTTTGCGTATCTGCCATCCAGAAGCAAAATTCATGGACAGTGTCAGTGTCGAGAGATCTCTAAATCAAATCAATAATTATTTTTTATAACATATGGGGCGAAATCAGGATCGATTTTTCTTTATTTTGCACTGATTTTCATGTCAAGAACACGATGCCAAAATAGTACCATTCTTTTCGCGATAACTAAGAAAGTCCTGTTTACTTCTCGGCCAACTACCTGACGGCTGACGACTAAGTGACGGCCTCATGAACATAGATGCGACAATGATAATGGATGTGCTTCGTTTCACCTCATCATTCTATCATATCTTATTTGATATCGATGAATCGATGATGGCGCGAACGATATCACCTATCGTTCGCGTTAAGGTGAGTTCCCGTCGGCGTTAAGTGAGACACCTCGTTGCTTTTTTTTTATAATTTCAAATTGCGGATGAATCGATCGACTAGCAGAAAAAGAGTTTGCCGAGTACATGAAGATTCAATTATATAATAATTAATGGAAATGTAGAAAACTTTACGGCCCTTGGGCGAACTATCGCGTTCTTAAGTTTTTAGCCTTTAAATTCGCGTTCGCAAATGCAGGATATTATCCTCTTCCACAAAATGATGCATTTGTTGCGTGCTTGCAGTTTGATTACCCGCTTTCCCGTATTCCTTCCGACATGCGTATCATATGTAGATAGACGGCGGTAAATAGATCGCGTATTTACTCGCACATATCGAACGGCGAGTATCATATCCTATCATACAATCATTTTCCCATAATGACGCACCGTGCAAAAGAGATGTGCGTTATATACGAGTTATCTCTTGTCACCCGACATTCGCGAATTGTTGAGTTGACGGCGACCGTCGCAAGAAACGTTGTTGAACGTTTCGAAAGGAAAATATAGCGTAAGTTATTGAAAAATGGAATATAAAATTAATAAGATAATTGAGAATAAAATTCATTAATGTATTATAAAAGATTAATTTGACTTGCAAGTGTAATTAACTCTCTATTATAGATATGGGTCATTTGGATCCGAAGCGAAAATTTTATACAATCTGTATGATTAGTACTATAAGATTCGTAATTGTAGGTAACAAAACGTTAAATCTTTTTCTATCAATTTCCGTAAAGCGGAAGTACACTTGCATTCTGTACTTCAAACAAGATGCTTTAGAATTGAAATAATTTTCGTATTAGTTGATTAAATATAATCAACTAATATAAATATAGAATAATTGATATTAAGATTCTCTTAATACATATATTAAACTTAATAGACTTTAGTTATCTAATTTTAAAAACATTATGAAAAATATATTTGCTTATGCATTGCTGATAGCAGAAACTTTCATGAATACTTTATATATCGTATTCTATGATAATAATGTACAAGCTTATCATTATATATATTTGTATATGCATTTCTTAAACAGCGGCATTAAGATATCAGACATATTTTCCCACAAATATGAAATTTTAAATCACTATACCGACGGTAATGATTTAAAATTCAAGGTAATGTTAAGACCATAATTTTACTGCAAGTCTTTTGCAAATCTGGATAACAAGACATGGAAATTCTGAACAACAAGACCGCAATCTGATGCTGTAAATCACTCGCCGCTTGCGTTTTGTTTTTGACTACGTGTGATAACCACACATAATGTTCTAGTCAATAGAGTCTGCAGTAGGTATCGCAACAACGCAATAAGCCTTCAAGTTAGAAGCCGAATGATTAATTAACTGTCCAGCCCGCATTGTCATTCATCGTCGAAAGTTTCTTGAACTAGCCACACGCATTGTCTATGCGCGTTTGCGGTTTGTCATGAATGACGATCATCGCGCAATCATTTCTAATTACTTTCACAGAGTAGCGTTAATATTTTTCGAAGTAATTTTCTTCCGACCGAAGAATATTAATTATTTTTCAGAGAAATTGTCGAAATTTAAATCAGTTGTATTTACGTCAGGCAAAAATCATTATAAAAAAATGTAATTATTACAAAAATAATTATCCAGAAAATGTGGACGATTACATATCTACAATATTCGATTCATTGACACGCGGAAATAGTTGGAGAACGCATGATAATTATTTTTCAGAGAAACTGTCGAAATTTAAATCAGTTGTATTTACGTCAGGCAAAAATCATTATAAAAAAATGTAATTATTACAAAAATAATTATCCAGAAAATGTGGACGATTACATATCTACAATATTCGATTCATTGACACGCGGAAATAGTTGGAGAACGCATGATAATTATTTTTCAGAGAAACTGTCGAAATTTAAATCAGTTGTATTTACGTCAGGCAAAAATCATTATAAAAAAATGTAATTATTACAAAAATAATTATCCAGAAAATGTGGACGATTACATATCTACAATATTCGA